TAATCCTATTGGCCTGCTCATAAGGCACAAGGTGCATTTGTGTCAACTGCTCGCTCATTTCTCGTGTGAGCTGCTTTATTCCCGCATCCAAGTAATGATCTTCATAACGTGGACCAAGTACAGTCACAAAGAAGTGCAGAGGATCCGAATAGCTCTGGAGTGAAACGTGTGCTGACAGACTCTACGAGTCTGTGCTTAGAAGACGCTTTAGTGAATAACATCTGCTACAGATGCATCGGAGAAGCTGGTCTCTTTAGTTAGCTGCTCGAATGGGGCAAGAAGAGAAAGAATGCTCTCCATTAAGACCCACTGGTGTGGAGTGAATGTCGTGGGGAGCTCGCGGTCTGCGGTATTGCAAATAATTATCCGTGGGTCTTTCTCAGATATATTGAAATACGTTCACACCGCAGACAAGTTGGCACTTTCAGACTGGCCCGCGCTGGCCGCGTATTATGCCTGAATCATCATATCCTCCTGTTTTTTTTGTTTTTGTGTCTTTTGGCCACAAACCGTGAATGCACTTTTGGGACATTTTTGGTGGACGAATATTTGGTGCCTCCCTAGTTAAAATGATGACGTCCAAAATTAACTTTTTTTTTCCCATTGTGCAATATGCCCGTATTACAACACTTAATTTCCAATACAAACATGTATTTGTGTGAAGCGGTCTGCTGTGTCACAATGACAATAATTTACTTTCACTTCAAAACTATTTTCAGGTCACATGATCTTAGCAAAACCCTTTTTGTTATTGGGTTTTTATTATCGGCATTACATAATTATGCTAATATTGACCCAAAAAAAATCACAGATCTTATGAGAAGTCCATAATGATGCCACATGACATTGATGGCCTCACCTGCGGTCACAACTGGCCCATTGGCTTTTGGCTGACGGGTGATACACTCAGAATGGCTTGAGATGTTTTTGGCTCCCCCTTCAGTGATTTCACAGCAAGTGGATGACGCCACTTCCATTGAGCTGATGTTGCAATGACAGATGAGTAACTTAGTATAATTATAATCAGCGGATGACAAATGAGGAAAGCCAACAAATCATTCATTAAACTGACTGATCTTGAGACATACCTAAAATCCAACACAATCAAGCACTAAATGGCAGCATGTAAAAGCACAACACTGGGATGTATGTAGTGAAACATCCAAACTTCCAATAGCAGCAAGTTAAAAAAACAAACAAACAACAAACAAACAAGAAACGAAGAAGTCCAGGTACTAGGTTGCTATTCGTAATGTTAAAAACAGACATATTCATAGCCACAATTAGCAAAGTAAGCGCCTCCTTGTGGGCCTTAATGCCACCAAGTGAGGCCACCGTGAGCACTTAACATGTCAAGACATTGTGATGGAGAAAATAAAAATAGCATTAAATAATATAAATGTACGGAGCCCCTAAAGGGACATGGGGGGGGGGGGAAAAAAACGAAACGATATCTAAGACATTTTGCCACACATACATACAGGGTAATACATTAAAATAACACAAACAATCATGTACAGTACGTACGGTTGGGAAATCTAAGATACCCGCATGTCATGCGTGACATGTGTACTGTATATATGGTGAGCATTTAATTAATGTAGGATACCTCAGTTCGACACAGGAGGGCACTGTCCCTGCCCTTGCATCACGTCTCACTAAAGTAGTTATAGAGCCCGTATCCACCAGGAACCAAGACCAGTTGGACAGCTCCGTACTTCTTTAGGACCTTATTAGTATTACGTTGTCAATCGACTTTATTGGTATCACTCCCGGAATTATTAACCCTTTCAAACCATGAATATGACGGTGAACATAACACAAAACGATTACAATACGTTGAAATAAAGTACAGAGTGTATAAACGAATAAGTATGCTAATCAATATCTGAAAACCACTCGTCTTTTAAGACATATTCTCATAGCGTATGCTCAACCGATAGCTATCGGCTTGAGCAAGCAAACTATTATGATGGCGAATACCAATCCAACACAATTTTGTTTTCTTTATTTTGATATTTTCTAGAGAGAAAATATATCTCTCTATGGCGTATACATTTCGAACAAACGTATAATTTATTGATTTGTTATTGTAACTTTAACGACATTACGTAAATTGAACGCACGAGACAATGCTGTTGAATGCTACAAAAGAAAACAACACAATAGAGAATAACATTATATTGAATTTAAAAAAAAAGAACATGTACCTGTTAGTGATTTGTTCTTATTCGTTTCTTCTTATTATAATAAGTCCGTTCTCCGCTGTCGCTTCGTCTTCTCAAACTCATAACAGCTACTCGCAAGTCCGCGCGTCTCCGTTTCGTGAGAAATGAACAGCGAGCGAGACAGAGAGAGAGACAGAGAGAGAGAGACAGAGAAAGAGAAAGAGAGAGAGAGAGAATCGAGAGAGACTACTTTTGTAGTTGTTATGTAAATAACTGAATGTTAATCCTAGCAAAAAGAAGCAACTCGGTATACATTTGTTAGAAATCGCCAAGTTCTTATTAAACAGTCAGACAATAACAAAGTATTCCGTTTTCTAAATGATGGCGTAAATGTCAAGAAAAGTTAAAAAAAAGTCATGTCAAGTGAAATAAAATTAGCCTTAAAAAAAGAAAACTTAGAAAATGTTTTTATTCATAAAATTTTTTAAAAAAGCCAAAAGTTGAATGCATTAATATGACATTATTTGAAACAAAATATTTCATTTGTTGGAGATCATTTCCAAAAATATATATTTCATTTGTTGGAGATCATTTCCACAATGAATGACTGTTGCCCCCCCCTCCAGCGGTAGTAAGGAGCTGCAGAAGATTCGGTTTAATGCTGCAGAGTGCGCTGCTGCCGCTCTCGAAGGTCGCGAGCGTATCACTTGTAGAAGTGGTAGAAGAAGAAGCTCGAACGGAAGTAGAGGAGGAGACAAAACAAAGAGCAACATCTGCATCTGCATAATTGTAACTGAAAATTACGCTGATTTTTCGTCATGGTGAGTCTATGAGGACCAGCACAGGTGCCGAACGGGATAAAATCCGATTAAATTGACGCAAGAATTTTGTTTTGCGGTTAGATCTGTGTGTAGCGGTTCGTAAATCTCAGTCCGCAGCTGGATGTGGATCGACATGACCCCCATCTGCATACATATTAGGAAGAAAAAAACAAGATAGGATCCTTTCCTTCGTTCAAATTGCTTTACATATCTAAAGGTAGTCTTAAATAGCCACTCCATTTTCTGGGATTTAAAAATATCCAATTATAAATTACTTTTGCTTTGTTTGGCGTACACATCTCCTCTTAATTCTAGTGATATCTATCCAGCTTCACTTTTCCAGCTAAATTCAGGTTTCCAACTTTAGGTTTACCTCGTTTACGCCGTAATGGTGAAATGAGGACTTTGTTCTTTGTGTTTCAGTCTGATGAGGTGGGCGGAGTAGAGCACGGCGCACCGGATGAGAAGGATGAGGAGCAAAGAGAGGAAAAGGGAGGCTATAAAGATGGAGAACGAGGACTTACAGTAGCGGTCGCAGCAGTAGGAAGAGCACACGGCGATAAGGGAACAAGTTACACGCCTCTTTATTGCGTCTGCAGGAAACCAGACATCAACTGTTTTATGATGTAATCCAGCATTATTTAATTTGAATGTATACGTAACCGTTTCACGATGTAAAACCTCTGTCTCTCTCTCTGTCCCCCATGTGTTAGAGGGTGTGACAGCTGTGCCGAGTGGTTTCATGGAGACTGTATCGGAGTGTCAGAAAAGGCAGCTAAGTCCATTCGTGTCTGGTACTGTCCGTCCTGTAGAGGTCAGTAGCGCTCTCTTTTTGGCTTTTTGACGTCTAGCTTTGGGCTAAGCCTTAGCTGTGTGTTATGGAAGTCCAGCGGCTCTCAATTTTTTTTTCCCGTCATGCCCCCTCTTGGGGACAGAAACACTGTATGAGTGGCTTCCATCTAGTGACTGGAGGCTTGTTATCGTTCAAGCATTACTTTGAGATATACTGTGTTTGTTGAAACTGTGTGTTAGCTCCATTAGAGTTGGCTGTTTTTTAAATAAATTGTTTTAGCTTGGTAATTGCCATTATTATCCCTAGTTCTGCTGTTAACACTTATTGTGTTCGCTATCAGCTGTGTGCGTGTCAAGTTTATATTTATTTATTTTTATTGTCAATTACTATATTTGTTTTAGCTGTTAATACTTTGTTAGTAGCTAGCTTTCCTAAGCCCCGTTGTCTGTCTGCAGACAAAAACACAAGTCTGGAGATAAAGTACCGTCCAAAGAAAAATAAAGAACAGGAGGAGAAAGAGGTTGGTCCAGAGATAGATGACATGTATGATGAAGAACAAGGTTCCAACCCCCAATCTAGGGCTGACAAGAGGCGTGTTTCACAGGTACAGAAGTGACCTGTCTAACTTGTGCTGTATTTAGTAAAAACTATAGCCCCTCATCAACAGTTCGAGTTTTTTTTTTAATCCGTGTCTATATCTTTTTAGCGTTTATTCTCGCCCACTTTTTGTTTCAGATCAAACGTTCTGCGCGTATGTGCGGGGAGTGTGACGCTTGCCTTCGGACAGAGGACTGTGGTCAGTGTGATTTTTGTAAAGACATGAAGAAGTTTGGAGGTCCAAACAAAATTCGACAGAAATGTCGTTTGCGCCAGTGTGAGGTCCGAGCACGGGTGAGTCCTGAAACAACGAAGGTCAGAACCTTGCCTCTGTTTGTTCATTTCAGGGGTGTCAAACATATGGCGCAAAACCGTCCCGCTTAGGGTTTCAATCTGGCCCGCTTGATGAATTTTAAAAATAAAAACGATACACAAACACTTCATATTTAAGAAATGTTTTATAAAATATTATTTCGCTAAATATGAATATTTATCTAATGTGGGGTTTTTTTGCACAAAAACAAAGGGGAAAAATACAGACATTTAGATTAGGTTTATGGTTATGATTGAACTGATCCAGCCCGCTTCTACAGTAATTTTTGAAATATTGAGCACACCTGAATATAAGCCACACCCACTTTATTAATTAATAAACTTTTAATTAAATAAATGCTTTTTTTTAAACAGTGCCTGTAAACTGGTTACACGTTAGCTCTTTCCTGCTTTGGAGCTCCCGACCATAGTTGGAATGCATTTAGTGATCTGCTCCAGATCCAAAGCTAACATTAGCTAACGTTAGCTCCCGGGCTAACTCCCTCTGCTTGTCTGTAGCAGAGGTAAACAGAAACAGGGAAGTTGGGGTCTTTATTATCAGCCCCACCAAGCACAACTGAACATAAACAGTGTTTTAAGCTAGCTCCTGTATAACCAACTCACGCTTCAACATGACAGGGCTCAAACTGCTCTCAACTTTTGCTACCGTTCTTACGCGCCCCACACACATAGCCATTCACAGACAGACATACTAGTATAACACACAGTAGCCTACCAGAAAAGTCATTGCTAGCGGTATGAACTTCGCTAGCCTGTAAAACTCCATAAATTAGCCGCATCATTGTTTAAGCCGCAGGGTTCAGAGCATGTGAAAAACGTAGCGGCTTATAGTCTGGAAATTACAAAATAAGTTTGACACCCCTGGTTTATTTGCTGCGTCCAGTCCGCAGTCCATTGTATTATCACAGACTCTTGTCTTAAAGCATATAGATTTTGTAAAGTTTAGACTGTGCTTGTCCGCATACAAGTGATGAAAAGATGACATGATTGTTTTGTTTGTGCAGAAGATGCTTCGAATCAAAGATGAGGAGTTAAGTCATAGTAGTTACGGCAAGGGGCGCAGTCTATCAAAGAGATGGGCAGAGGAGTACATGGAAGAGGACGAACTAGAGGAGGAGGAGGAGGAACCAGAAGAAGAAGAGGAGGGATTTAGTGAGAGTGAGCTGGAGCTGTATGAACAGTACAAAGCAGCAGGATATGTTGACCTGGTAGGTAAAAATGTAATGAATGTAATTAATGAAGTCAATCAAGTCAAAGTCAAAGTACCATCTATAAATTTACTTGAGTAAAAGTAAAAAAATACTAAATTTAAAATTTATACTGAGTAAAAGTTACTTAGTTTCTTTAAATTACCGTATTTTCCGCACTATAAGGCGCACCTAAAATCTGAAATTTTTTTCAAAAGCTGACTATGCGCCTTATAATCCGGTACGCCTTATATATGGATCAATATTGAGCCGCGACAGGTCTCGCAACTTACGGTAAGCAGCCACCGACTCCATTTTTCCCCGTAGAAGAAGAAGTGCGCGGTGCATGCTGGGATATATTAAACAGCGATTCATTTTCATTTGTGTGTTTGTGTAAAGACCCTGAAATGGCTCCTATTAAGATACAACGCAGAGTTTAAACTCAAGGCGATCAGTCACGCAGTAGAACACGGAAATAGAGCAGCAGCAAGAGAGTTTAACGTTAATGAATCGATGGTGCGGAAGTGGAGGAAGCATGAGGATGAGCTGCGCCAGGTAAAGAAGACTAAACAAAGTTTCCGTGGCAATAAAGCGAGATGGTTACAGTTATTATGCTATTGCTTTATTGTTATTGTTTTGCACTTGTTATTGTTTTTGCACATTACGAGTGTCACTATATTGTGATTGCACTAACGTTTAATTTACCGTAACAGTATCAGACTGTTTTTTGCGTGTTGACTGAATGGAGGAAAAGTAAAATGTTATAGGTGCGCCTTATAACACGGTGCGCCTTATAGTGCGGAAAATACGGTACTTGTGCCATAAAGGATACAGTGATACATCCAATCTGCAACTAGTTGTTTTTAATCAACAATTAAAAGTGGCATAAGTTGAGAATTCTCTCATCCATTGGAACGCTTGTACAAACCACCAAAGGACCCTTAAAAAAATGACTGACTAAACCAACCAAACTCATAGTGTCAGGCACTATATTCAGTCTCAACTATGTCCAGTCACACCATATATATATATAAATATAGGTGAATAATAATAATAATTTTTGTATTTCACATATGTTCATTCCTCTTACTTCCTGTGGCGGCAGGTTTGGCAAAGCGAGGAAGAGGATGCTCAGGTTGATGCTCTGAGGAAGAAGGCGGTAAAGGTGAAACACGTTAAGAGGCGAGAGAAGAAGCCCGAAAAGAAGGTAAACGACAGAGATGATGTATTTGTTTATTTGTCGGGTATCATGATGTATTTGTTATGTCTAACTTTCTGTTTTCCGTAGAAAACAGTGTCTGTCCCAAAAGAAGAAGCAAAGCCTCGGCGTCATAAAGCCAAACAGCGTCACCGTGAGCGCGTGCGACACAGTGAGCGCTCAGTAGAAGGTGGAGTCAAAGATGTAGGCGGGGCCATGAAACAGTGCCTGGGTCCTGGATGTGTGGAAATGGCTAGATCAAACTCTAAATACTGTTCTGACGAGTGTGGAATGAAGCTTGCTGCCAAGTAAGTTAGGGTTGAATTGCTTTTAAATTAATCTCAGACACAAACTGACCACACGAGGCAGCCTTGTACCAGCTGCTCCCCCGTCTCCGAAAGCTAAAATAACGATTTTCTCTTTGGTGTGAGAGATTGAGAGTGGTCAAATACCTGAGTTTTTGTGTTGTTTACACAGATAAGATCATTGTTTTATCACAGCTAACGTTGCTAATCATATGCTTACATCAGTTGTCCCTTCTTTATTCTGTTCTATACGTAAACATTTTTCTGAAATTATGATTTGTGCTCTTACACAACCCTTTCTTTTTCTTGTTTTTTTTTTATGCCAGAATCTTTTATTCTTCAGAATTTTCCAGCTCAGTTTCCCTTGTCTTTCTTTGCCCTTTGGCTACTATGTCTGTAATTGACCTTATTTTAGCTGTGTTTGGCATGGTATGTAAACTTTTTGTGGTGTTTTGGCTGATGTTCTTCTTCTATTTTGACCTAACCCTACTTTTTCTGTCTCCTTTATAATTTACTTATCTTTTCCTCTTTTACTTTTTTTTAACTATTTGCAGTATTTTAGTTTATGTTCTAAGATGAACAAGTGACATTGGCCAGTTATTACCGGTATCTTGTGACTGTCAAAGGCAGAGTCGACGTATTACATGTCCACCAAACTATTTGTAGTATTTTAGTTTATGTTCTAAGATAAACAAGTGACATTGGCCAGTTAGTACCGGTATCTTGTGACTGTCAAGGGCAGAGTCGACGTATTACATGTCCACCCTCAAACATTTTTTAAACATTCCTTGAAATCGTGTAAAATGTCTTCACTTTCTCTCTCTCTCTCTCTGTCACAGTCGTATCTATGAGATCCTACCTCAGAGGATCCAACAGTGGCAGCAGAGTCCCTGTGTAGCAGAGGAAATGGGGCGTAGACAGCTGGAGCGAATCCGGAGAGAGCAGCAGGCGGCCAGGCTTCGCCTCACACAGATGGAGAAACGGTTTCTCGAGCTGGAGGGAATCATTGCCAACGCTAAACTGCAGCACGTCCAGCAGCAGGAGGAGGTGTGAGATAGGAGCCCAGACTGGGATTTATTTAAGAAAGAAAGAAAAAAGTGAATTATTTGTCATTGTGACACACCAAACGAAATGTGTCCTCTGCTTTTAACCCATCACCAAAGTGAACAGTGGGCAGCTTTAAGCTGCCCGGGGAGCAGTATGTGGGGGACAGTGCCATGCTCAGAGTACCTCAGTGGTAACTTGACAGCTGGTGGACTCAAACCTGAAGCCTTCCTGACCCAAGTCCGCTTCCTTAACCACTAGGCCACCGCTGCCCCAGACGTGGGCAAACGTTTTGACGATGGAGCGTCCGTGTGGACTAAGATAAATGACGTGTAAAAGTCATGCATAAAGGCTAAAATGTTAGAATGCTTCATTATTTTCTACACCATCTAAAGGGGAAATGTGGGTATTGCATGGAAAATGCAGAAGTTCATCTAAAGGGGAAATGTAGAAGTACAATGATACTATAAATAAATTATATAATTTGGAAAAGTTTGGCGGGCCAGATTGAAAAGCTGAACGGGCCATATCCAGCCCCTGGGCCTTAGTTTGCCAATGCCTGATTTAGTAAAACTGGTTAGACACTGTTCACAGGTCTGTCTATCTGTCTGTGACTCTGAACTGCCTATCTTTGTCCAGGTGACAGAAGGTGATGGTGAAGACACGGACCTCCAAATCTTTTGTGTGTCTTGCAGCCACCCTATCAATCCTAAAGTGGCACTAAGACACATGGAGAGGTGCTACACTAAGGTTAGCACAAACATCACATCAGTATCTTTATGTACGTAGCGTTTAGCTAACAGATGTTTGCTAAAAGTGTCTGACTCTCTTTTGTATCTCTGTCCCACAGTTTGAGAGCCAGACGTCATTTGGGTCCATGTACCCAACACGTATAGAGGGGTGGGTCTTCGGTCTGTTCCTCAGGTGATTGTGTATGTACTGTATCTTTGTGTCTCATCTGTCAATCTGTCTCTCAGAGCCACCAGGTTGTTCTGCGATGTCTACAACCCTCAGAGTAAGACATACTGTAAAAGGCTGCAGGTCTTATGTCCTGAGCACTCCAGGGATCCAAAGGTTTGCCTATCCTTTCCAGATTTGCCCTAGTTTAAAAAAATGAAATCCAACATACGAGGATTTCTTTGTCTTCCACCGAAACAGGTCCCAGCTGACGAGGTGTGTGGCTGTCCACTGGTCAAAGATGTCTTTGAGCCGACAGGTGAATTCTGTCGCATATCCAAAAGGAAGTGTAACAAACATTACTGCTGGGAGAAACTGAGACGAGCAGAGGTGGATCTGGAGCGAGTACGAGTGGTAAATGGTTTGAATTGCTCCATCGACAACAAACACTCACAGACTTTGTAATGGCAGGGACTGACCACATGGTGTCTGTGTCACCGTCTTACAGTGGTACAAGCTGGATGAGCTGTTTGAGCAGGAGAGAAACCTGAGGACAGCCATGACCAACAGAGCTGGACTGTTGGCTCTGATGCTTCACCAGACTATTCAACATGATCCGATCACAACTGACCTGAGGACAGCCAAGGACAGGTAGACAGGTTTAGACAGACAGACAGGAGAAGATACATGCACACTTTTATACGTACCTGTGAAAACACTAAAAATGAGATTTCTAAAACAAACACAATGCATCAAACTAAGTTCCAGCCTTTATAACATCAAGAGAATATATATATAAATATATATATATATATACATACAAACTTCCTTTGTTTTTTCTGCAGTGGAATAATATGGAATAGTGTGCAGCCTTTGTGTAATGGGCATCTACCTAAAGCTGCACACTTAGCTGTTGCTGCAGTTCTACTTCCTCTGTTCTTTTCTGTGAGTCATTCATGTTGTTGGCGTGAAAAACATAATCAGTGACTAGTTAATATCAAGCTGTAAACGTCATTGTGAAGCAGCAAAGTTGACTAGCACATTAGTTTATACAACACTAAGCGTGTGTGTGTGTGTGTGTGTGTGTGTGTGTTTTTCAGCACCAGCTTTACAGTATTAAAAGAAAAACTCAATCCGTCAGTGCAGTAAGCCCAATGAACATTTTCTTTTAAGTCCACCATGTTAGCTTTTACTACTTTTTACTACTTACTTGTGCATACGTTTTACATGGTAAGCTAATAACTATTGTATATGGTTTATATATTTCACATTATCATTCCATAGAAACAAAATAAACAAACTCCACCCCAACTTCATTTTCCTCAGTTTTTTGTCTTTAATACAGAATGAATGTTCCAACAAAGACAAGTAAATGTTTGGTGTGAGTATAACGCACTCACATTAATTAAAATTAAATAAATGGAATTTATGGAATAAGTAATTAAAATAATAAAATGCCTAACCTATATTTATAAGATTTCTTGAAGGGAAATAAAAAAAATGGATTTAATTTTTCAGAACGGCTTTTATGCTCAAAGTATTAAAAAAGGAAATACCACCATTAGGAAAACAGTGGAGAAGTGATCATTTCATGGGGACATGGGGATCCTGTCCTTTATAAATCTGTATTTTTTGTTGTTTTAATTGCTAAATAATATTTTCAACAATTGTTAAATTGATTTAAAGGCACAATTGCCGTTGAATTAAATGATTATTATACAGGATTTCCTTCTATATTTTTGTTATAAATGCATTTTATTCAAATGTTTTGCCAACTAGTGGAGGTTTAAAGTCTGTATTTTCTTTATTAAGACTGATGTACATATAAGTCGGAGCGCAATACAGTTTCAGACTAAACGTAATATTTACTTTGAGATTTATTTTGAAACTATTGTTAATCGCGCGATGTCGCGCAATGTGACGTCACCCAAATGACGTAGTATAGGAGCGACAGTGCCTTGGCGTTTAGGGGAGGAAGAGAAAAAAACTACTATGTTCTGAGTAAAAAGGAGACGTTACAGTAGGGCGAACTGTTTTACAGTCATTTGCTTTTATTTACATTGTTTTTCATGTTTAATTTGTTTAAGTTAAATTCCAGGAAGGCAAGAAGAAATTAACGTTTTTGGTAGGAAGTGAAAGTGTTTACGCGTATCGGACAATTAACCAGTCTTATTTTCATAATTTCTAGCAAAAGGCGGCGCTAAATAAAAAAAATGACTGTTGTTAAGCACCGTTAAGACCAAGAAGAAGATCTCGGGAAGTTTTCAAAAGCAATAAAAAAAGGGAAGACAAAGAAAAAGCAAGTGTGTTTTTGTTTTATTGTTCATATACCCCTTCAGAAATTTAGCGAAGAAGATTTCTGGTTAACCCAGCTACCACATATGGAAACATGAACTGCACCAGGTTCAAATAAATTCAACCCTACTTTAATTTAATCTGTCCTGATTGGATTCCATGTTATAATAGTTACAGTAAACATGTATTGTTACACCTGAGATTAACATGTAACCACACTACCATTACTGACAACAGAAGTATAAATCACTTTAAATTAAAATTGTTTTA